TTATTTCTCCTTATTCCAGCATTTAGACATTCAATTGTAGTAGTGTTTCTTCATTATCTCTGAATTACTATTATCTCTGACTAAACCATTTAGGTTTCTTTATAAATAATTAAGGTAAAACTATGAAAACTGTACCAAACAGTGATAGCTCACACCTATAATCCTAGCTGCTCAAGAAGTGAGATCTGAAGGTGGTGGTTCAAAGACAGCCTGGGCAGACAGATCTTTGAAACTCTTATCTCCAGTTAATCAGCAAAAAGCCCCAAGTGATGGCCCAAGTGATAGAGTGCCAGCCTTCATTGAACAGGCTGAACAAGGACCTGAGATCCTGAATTCAAGTCCCAGTACCAGCACAAACAAAACAAAAAAGAAAACAACTGTTCCTATAGAAAAGGACCAAATGAATCTCCAGAAAATCAAAGCATTTTTAGTGCTTTGAAATGTCTGATGCCAACTTAAAATGTTGACATCAGATTAATACCTTAGACTTAAAGTATTAATTACTGCTAAATATCAGCTAACAGGGAGAAATACAATATCTGAAGATCAATGAAAGAAACATGCATATAAATGCATACATATGTTTAAGAATTAAGACATCTAAAGAGCTCAAATACAGAACTTCTTTCAAAATAACTTTGAAATTTATTATAAGTAGAAATTGTATAAAGCATAAAAGCATCTGTATGCTTGATAGCAAAAGAAATACATGCATGGACTGTTTAAGAAAAATAGAAATTGACTAAAATTTATCTTACATTATATTTTACCCTGTGTTCTAGAAAAATGGATTACTTAAGAAATACCTCATACAGCAAAGAATAACAGTGTTCTTCAAAGATTCAGATTTATTAAGTAATAAAACTTTATTATTGGGCTGAGATGTGGCTTAGAGGTAGAGTGCTTGGGTTTGATTCCTCAGTACCACATAAACAGAAAAGGCCAGAAGTGACATCGTGGTTCAAGTGGTAGAATGCTAGCCTTGAGCAAAAGAAACTCAGGGACAATGCCTGGGCCCTGAGTCCAAGTCACAAGACTGGCCAAAAAAAAACAAAACAAAAAACAAACAAACAAAACTTTATTATTGCAAATAGCTTTAAGAACATACTTATTTATCTTAGAATCAATTATAAGAAAAAGTAGAAAAACAAGCTTAATGACTGAACTGATCTCCTAATAATTTATTTCATGAATATTAAGTCTTAAATTACATGGTTTATTGTTTTCCATAAATGTTTTGGTATCCATAAAACTATCTGATGAGATATTTTTCTTTATTTTCTTACTAAATTTAGGGCAATCAGTACTGCTTTGGATCTTTGTATAGTCATGAATGAAAAGATCCATGAAAATCTTAAATAGTAAGATCTGTTGTCACCTCTTCCTACTTAATATACTGACGGCCCAAACCCTGGATGTTGAGTAAACAAGTTGTATATATTGAGATTTAAGTCCTTTTATCTTTTTTTTTTTTGTATTGTTCCTGTGGACTTGCTTTAAGCTTTTACTGCTCCAACCTACTTTTCTGTAAGCCCATGTCCCCTTTCTACATGACCTTGCCTCTGAAACTATTCCTCTCATTTAATTGCTATCTTTCTTCATCGCCTCACTCATCTATTTCCTTTTCATTTTTGACTCTCTTATCTTGTAGCACAGCAATTCTTGCTTTCTACCCACCCAGTGGCTTTCCATGCCAAAAAATCTAGACATAAATGGTGCAACCTAAAGATCAATCTATTTAATCCGAGAAAGCCTCTTTCCAATTCTTATGATTATTTGTAATTCTGCAGTCACTGAAATTATATCTAAAAACACATAGCTGTATCCAAAAATACATTGTTCCTTTGACAATAAGACAGTTTTTAAAAATTAAAGTATAATTTATATTCGGAATCATTTCACTCTTTTCTAATCTATACTTTTATGAGTTTGGCAGATTCAGACACATAGTTACTAATGCTGTCAAGGTAGAGAATAGTCAATGACCCTAAAAATTCTCTCATGCTCTTTTACTACTCCTGCCACTCTAATTCTCTATAAGTGCTTTCATTTTGAAAATCTGAAATATAGTATCTAATGAAAAACAAGTGCTTATTCTCCTCTCTCTCCACCGCTGACAGCAACCCTTCTACTTTCTTTCTGTCTGGATTTAATTACTCTAGGTACTTCAAATAATAAAATACAATATTTCTCTTTGTGACTGGTTTATTTAGTATAGAGTTCATCCATGTTGGAGCATGTGTCAGAATGTCGTTCCTTTCTTTTTCAGGCTGAAGAGTATTCGTTCCATATGTATACATATTAAACTCTGTTCATCCAACTATATTATTGGACACTTTGGTTGTTTCTACCTTTTAACTATTCTAAATAATATTGTTAGCCGGTGCTAGTGGCTACACCTATAATCCTAGCTACTCAGGAGACCTGAGGATTTTTGTTCAAAGCCATCTCAGACAGGAAAGTCCTTGAAATTCTTATCTTCAGTTAACCACCAGAAAAGTGGCACTGTGGTTCAGAGTGATAGAGCTCTAGATTTGTATAAAGGTTCAAGGACCGGGGCTGGGAAGGTGGCTCAGTGGTAGAGTGCTTGCCTTGCATGCATGAGGCCCTGGGTTCGATTCCTCAGCACCACATACGCAGAAAAAAAAAAAGCTGGAAGTGGCGCTATGGCTCAAGTGGTAGAGTGCTAGCCTTGAGCTGAAGAGCTGAGGGACAGCACCCAGGCCCAGAGTTCAGGCCCACGACCGGACACACCCCCCCCAAAAAAAAACACGAAACATTTGGGCTGGGAAGGTGGCTTAGTGGTAGAGCTTGCCTTGCATGCCTGAGGCCCTGGGTTCGATTCTCAGCACCACATAAGCAAAAAGAAAAAAGCCATGCACATGAACATATGAAAATCTCTGCTTTCACTTTTTCTGTGCTGGAAGACTTCTATAGTCTATTGAAGTACTTTATTTTATATAATTCAATGAACTTTAATACTTTCTCACAAGACTTTGACTTTAGATAAAAGAAAAGTTTAGGGAACATTTCCAGCACTGGTTTTGTGCTGTTTTGAATTCCCTCTATTTGTATTCCTACTAAGAGTACACAAAAGTTTCAGCTTCCCCACGTCCTATGTGTAAGATAGTCTCTGATTGATCTTGACTTCCATTTTCTTAATAGTTAGTATTCAAATGCCTATAGGCCATTTGTATATCTTCTTTGAAGTAATATTAATAGTACTAATTCATTTTTTCTTCTGCTGTTTTTGAAGTATGAGGGTTCTTAAGTTGGGGGTTATATCACCTCTTTCTTACTTGACTCATGTTTGTTTTTCAAGAATCTTTTCTCTGTGCATTGTAGCAGGGTCCCACGAGGTACATCTTAACACTAGTGATGAGCTTTAGAAACTTTGAAGGTGGAAACTGCTTTCTTTAATATATATTACAATACTGTAAAGTATTAGTCAGTTGAAGCATATGTACTGTGATACAAATACTTACCAAAAACAGAAAGAATGAAGAAAGATACAACATCACTTGTTGGTTAATGGATAAGGTTAGCAGAATTTCACTAATAGAAATAAACTTCAATAATGAAAAAGAAAGTTAACCTTTTTCAAATAAGGCAATTCAGTTAAGACAGGAATTGTCAATAGAGGCATCTTTCCATGAACAGAATTGTCTTTGTAATCGAAAGTAGTCTTAGCCTGGCTCTGGTGGCTCACGGCTATAAGCCTAGCTACTCAGAGGACTGACATCTGAGGATTGTGGATCAAACCCGGCCTGGGCAGGAAAGTTCATGAGACTCTTATCGCCAATTAACTTCCAGAAAACTAAAAGTAGTTCTGTGGCTCTATGTGGTAGAATGCTAGCCTTGAGCAAAAAAGCTCAGAGACAGTGCTCTGTTCCTGAGGTCTAGCCCCATGAATGATGAAGAAGAGAACAGAAAAGAGGAAAGAAAAGAAAAAAGAAAAGAGACATGGTTAGATATTTAATTCTAGGTAACTTACTAAGTAGAGTATTAAATTAAGAAAGGAAAATTGCTTTAGTATTCTATATGTGATAATATAAAGTCACTAGAACCAATTTCTAGGTCTAGTATATAAAATTATTACAATAATTTTTTATTTTGGCATTTTAAAATTCTGAATGATTTATAAATTAATAATTTTAAAAGAAAAAATACATTATATGCCTAAACCTTATTGTCATTTAAGCATCCAAATACATTTCTTTAAGGAATAAAATTGTACTATAAGCCTTGATTCCCTTTAAAAATATAATGTATTAGTTGGACACCAGTAGCTCACACCTGTAATCCTAGCTACTCAGAAGGCTAAGATTTGTGGATTGCAGTTCCAAGCCAGCCTGGGCAGGAGACTCTTACTTCCAATTAACCATCAAAAAGACAGATGTGGGCTGGGAAGGTGGCTCTGTGGTAGAATGCTTGCCTTGCATGCAGGAGGCCCTGGGTTCAAATCCTTAGCACCACATAAGCAGAAAAAGCTGGAAGTGGTGCTGTGGCTAAACTGGTAGAACGCTAACCTTGAGCCGAATCACTGAGGAACAGTGTTCAAGCCCAGAGTTCAAGTCCCACAAGCAACAACAACCACAACAAAAAGCCAGATGTGGCCCTATGATTCAAGTGGTAGAGCACTAGGCCCTGAATTCAAGCCCTAGGATCAGAACAACAGCAACAAAAGCAATGTAATATATTGTAAGATGTTATTTTAGAATTGCAAAGTAGGGCAGTATAGTGATTATTCCTTATAAGAATAACTATCTGACACAATGAAAAGGGGGGACTATCCCACATTTGTTAAGCCTAGTCCTTTGGTACTTGTATTTCCTTTGTTACCATGCTTTCTTCTCGAAGAACATTACTGTGCGGTTTTTGGGTTTTTACTGCTTTAGAGTTGTTTTTGAAAATATTCTTAGGTATAAACCCAATAATAGAACCAAGTACTGCTGTCCTTTCAGAAACCGTATTCATAATTTTCCTTTATTTTATTTTAGTTCAGCAATCAGCAAACACTGGGAAGCTGAACTGGCTACCCTCAAAGGAAATAATGCTAAACTCACTGCAGCCCTGTTGGAGTCCACTGCCAATGTGAAACAATGGAAACAGCAACTTGCCGCGTATCAAGAGGAAGCAGAACGCCTGCACAAGCGGGTGAGTTCAGGGCTGCTCTCAGGGATTCAGAGATAACAGGTTTCCTTGATCAGAGGAAATTTGCATGTAGATTCAACACAGGGGCATCCAAGAATATTCATTGGTTGCCAGAATATACCATACATGCATGGTTGTATCATGTGAGTTTAGGAAAAATATTTCCAGAGTTACCCAGGTAACTCATATCTGTACCAGCTACTTAAAAGGTAGAGATAAGAGGATCATGGGCTAACCCTGGGTATAAACATTGAGAACTGCCTGAAAATAACTGATGCAAAAATGGCTTAGGGGTATGACTCAAATGATAGAAATATGAGACCATGAATTAAAACATTCTTACCAGATTAGAAAAATAGCCATAGTTTGATAAGAATGAAGATTAAACAGCTTTTTGAAATTAGATGAACTGACTTTAGATTCTAATTTTACTACTTTTAGCTAAATAACTTTCTTTTAGCTCTATAACACAGAAATATTATATACTGTATATAATTCTTGTGAAAATTCAGACTCTAATTAGCATTTAGTGAGATTAAGTCAAAATACATATTCTATCTGCGTATGTCAATACATAACTATAGTTATATATAGCTACTCAGGATAATAAAGGAGGAGCATTGCTTCCACTGGACAAATTCAAGACCAGCCTGAGCAATATGGTGAGTACTTGTTTAAGTAAGTATGTAAGTAAGTAAACAAATTAAAAATATACAACCATGTTCTGTACAATTTCTATTACACTTAGTTGAACTGATTGAGTGTATTACAATGAATCAATAATTGCTTTTATCATTTTGATTATTAGCTTATTTTTATTTTTAAAGAAGGAATGATTTTTTAAATGCAGGTAGAAAATTCTTTATAAATTTGACAATATTAGCAATATAAGGCAGAAAATCAGAAATTGTAATACTGTTAATAGGATAAGCTCAAATAATTACTTTAAAATTTTAAATTCACCTTACCATCCAGGCAACAATGCTTGATAAGAAATGTATTCATTACCTGCTCATGTAATTGTAACCCCTCTGTATGGTATTTTCACAATAAAAAAACTTACTAATAAAAAAATTAAATTCAGCTGGGCACCGGTTGCTCGTGCCTGTAATCCTAGCTACTAAGGAGGCTGAGATCTGAGGATCATGGTTCAAAGTCAGCCTGGGCAGGAAAGTCTTGCCTCCAATTAACCACCAGAAAATGGGAAGTGGTGCTGTGGCTCAAGTGGTAGAGCACTAACCTCGAGCTGAAGAGCTGAGGGACAGCGCCCAGACCTAGAGTTCAAGCCCCATGACTGACAAAAAAAAAAAATTAAATTAAATTCAAAGCATAGAAATAAATTCACCCCACAGGAAGCAGGTGCCCTTAATTTCTCAAACTGACTAAAGGAGGGAATACTTAGGGGAGAAATATAAAGGCGTAACTCCTGAGCAACTAAAGTACTGTTTATCAAAATGAATACTAGGAAGTGGAAACATGTTTTGAGGGCGGCACAGGAAAGGAGGGAGGAAAAGTGAACAAGTGCAGTCATTTATTCAATGTACACTATTTGAAAAAATGAACTATGTAACATGGGTAGGGACAGGAGGGGGGAAATGGGGAAGAATGAAGGAAGGGATGTCATTGACCAAGAGGCATTGTACTCACAACCTGTCTTAGAGAATTGTAGCACTTATGTACAACTACTTAAAAAATACAATTTTAAATGCAAAAATATATTTAAATGAAAAGTGAAAACATAAAAGGATGCCAAATAAGAAATTGACTTGATATAGTTCAATGTGAGGAGTATAATAGAATAACAGAGATGTAAACCAAAATGGAATAGAGACAAGGAAGGAAGGATAGACCCTGAATAAACAGCATTCTATTTTACTATCCATTTCCCAATAATATGAATATACTGAAAACTACTGACCAAGCTTTGAACTTAAAAAGGTTAATATTATAATTTTTGTTATCACAACAAAAATCTAACTTAAAACTATTAAGACCTTGTAATGAATATTTGTTGAGAAGGAATCATGTCTCCTTATTATATAATCCCTACCTTCAAAGAATTTTTGTGTTGGTCAAAAGAATATTAAAGAATTTTAGAATGAAAGAAGTAGTGCAGGTATTATACTATCTACATGCTAGAGGTTGAGGCAGGAGGACCATGAATTTAAGGCCACCCTGGACCTTGTCTCAAAATTGAAAGAGAGAGAGAGAGATCTTTTATTTATAGCTTCTAGTGTTTCTCTGTCCTTTTCTGTAGATCAGAATTTCCATCAAGTGCTATTTCCCTGTATCCTAATAACTTTATTTAGCATTTTTATACTGGTTACTGGCAACAAACTATCTCAGCTTTTATTTAGACATTTTTATCTTTTCCATTTTTTAAACATTTAGCTACATATTGGCTATTGCAAATGAGATATTGTAGAAATCATAGATTTTTTTATCATTTCTTGAAGAGTGTTGGTTGTTTGAGGGATTTTGTTTGTTGTATTAGCAAGTACTTAAAGTGCTTTTATGTTACTTTAAATTTATGGAATTGTGGGCTTAAATGTTAGATTTGATTTATTTTAATTTTTCCCAACTCCTAGGATAAATCTCTTAGTCCCAGGGCATCTTTATCTCTAATACATAATCCTTCTGAGTTTCACTAGAAAGCTTAAACTTTTCACAAGGCCCTCTCACTTGACAGGACTAGACTTTCAAACTGTTTTCACTATAGAAAACAATACCACAGCTTAGTTCTTTCTACAGCTAGTTCCCATCCCAACCTCACCATGACTCTTTGGATTCTCCTTTCTTTGGATTCAATTTTAGAGTCACCTAGAGATTTGTGTATTTGGGGTCCTTCTTTCATTTCTTCATTTGTTAACTATTGTAACTACTTTGAATAGTCCTAAAATGTTCAGGCACCTCAAGAAAATAAGAATATAAATGGAGTTTTTGCTTGAGTTCATCCAAGAAGCACAGCCTGTCAAGTTATTGCTTTATTTCAGACATTTGCCAGTTTGTCTACTCGTCAGGACTTTCAGTTAATTTTTTTTTTACACTTGTAGTTTGTTGTTGTTATCTGTGGGAAGGTTATGCTAGTAAAAAACACTCCATTAATGCTCTACTATCAGAGTTAAAACTGTTGAAGGATTTATTATCTAATGAAACAAAGTTAATATATATTAAACACTAAGAAAATAGTTTCCAAGATTTTTTTATTTTTTTTTGTGAGTCGTGGGGCTTGGACTCTGAGCCTGGGCACTGTTCCTCAGTTCTTCAGCTCAAGGCTAGCACTCTACCACTTGACCCACAGTGCCACTTCTGACTTTTTCTGTTTATGTGGTTCTGAGGAATAGAACCCAGGGCCTCATGCATGCAAGGCAAGCGCTCTACCACTGAGCTACCTTCCCAGCCATGTTTCCAAGATTTTTGATCAGATGTTCCATTTTGTAAAGCATAGCAAAGGAGAGTTTTGAGATAGGAATGGCTTTCTGGAGAAAATAGGTACTAAGGTGTGATTTGTTGTTTTGATAAGGTCAGAATGTTTTTCAGAAATAAGAGAGACACTAGTCAACAAGTTGGGCATGGTCATGGGGACCATGGCCTAGGAGATTTGCCTGCTACTAGTTGGACATAATGAATCTTGGCCAAAGAAGATGGTTAAGTCATTTGAGGACAGTTTATAGAGATCTTGAAGAGAGAATTGTTAAAAATATAAACAGTTGAAAGATTTTGAATGGAGGAATCACATAGTGAAAGATATGGGGGGGAAGGATTGGGTGGGGGGTGGGGGGAGGCTGGGAAGGGATGGGAAGGGGAAACAAAGGAGAAGGCTACAATGCATGATAAGACATGTACTCATTATCTTGCCCATGTTATTGTAACCCCTCATTACAGTATTTTCACAATAAAAATAAAAGATGTAATCTGTTAGCAGTTACGTAAAAGTTAGAACAGACATATTAAGTTATAATTAAGTCCATCTTGGGGCCATTGCTTTTGTATAGGCCTAAGTAATAATGGTGTATAAAGCTATTAAAATGTGAATAGAACAATTGAAAGTGATAAAAGAGGTAGACGAATAGAATGTTGAGAGTAATAAAGTATTGAGAAAATTCAAAAGATTTACTATATTCTAGTTACCCAAATTTGTAAGCTTGTTGTGTATTAGGAGTTTTTACAGTCTGTGCCGGATGTGTATACATATGTACACACTTCTAATTATATGATTTTTGTCTATGTTCTCTTTCTGGATGGTCTAACTCAGTGTGTGCGTGCGTGCGTGCGTGCGTGCGTATGTGTGTGTGCGCCAGGATTGAACTCAGGGCCTGGGCACTATCCCTTAGCTTTTTGGTCCACCACTTGAACTGCAACTCCACTTCTGGTTTTTTGGTTGTTAATTGGAGGATATACGAGTCTCAGTGACTTAACTGAGCAAGTTTCGAACCACAATCCTCAGACTTCAGCCTTTTGAGTAGCTAGGATGCTACAAGCATGCTGAAGAGCTAGGATTTCAGGCATGAGCCATGGTTTGGCTAGTGTAACTTTTAAGGAGACTCCCCTTTTCTCTTATCTTAAAAAATATCAAGTACTATTTGAAATTGCCTATTTGGGGAGAGCATTTAATAATTTATTATTGACTAAGGAACTATTCTTTTCTGAGCTGGGCACTGGTGGCTCATACCTGTAATCCTAGCTACCAAGGAGGCTGAGATCTGAGGATCATGGTTCAAAGCCAGACCAGGCAAGAAAATCTGTGATTCTTATCTCCAATTAACCACCAAAAAAACAGAAGTGGTGCTGTGGCTCAAGTGGTAGAGCGCTAGACTTGAGCTGAAGAGCTGAGGGACAGCGCCCGGGCCCAGAGTTCAAACCCCACGACTGACAAAAAAAAACAAAAAAAAGGAGGTACTATTGATGTGAAGTTTTTGTGGATTCAAATAATTTGTTATATTTTAAACATATCTTTTCTTTAGATTTTTCTATCATTTTGCAAATGTATTTGAAAAAATTCTTTGCAAGGCCAGTTTTCAGAATCAATATTTAGTTTGAACATTACAGATGGGAAAGCAGATGGTCATGTCTGATATTGGATATATTTTCAAAAGAAATTTTTTTAAGTTTGTTATATTTGCAATGCTGAGGAGCAAACCCATAACCTTACATATGTTAGGCAAGCACATTACTCTGATCTACACACAGCCCTAAAAAGAAATTTTTAAAGAAGACTTTCTTTGAGTTTATTCTCTATTGTAATAATCATTTAAGTTTTCCTAATCTGTCCTGTAACCAAGCATGGAAATAACTGTTTTCTTTGTTTTAAATGTGTATCTTTAAAGAATCAATTTGTTTCATTCTGAATGTCTTGATAGTTCTCAAAATTTATTTTCATATATCTATCTAAAATTAAGTATTCTTTTATCAGAGGCTTTCTATGTTTTCAGTAAGAAACCCTTTGAAATTGCCATTTAATTTAACCTTTGTTCTCATTTAATTTTAGGTCACTGAACTTGAGTGTGTTAGTAGCCAAGCAAATGCAGTGCATACTCATAAAACAGAATTAAATCAGACAATACAAGAACTAGAAGAGACATTGAAAGAAAAGGAAGAGGTATTTACCACTTTTCATTTTCCTGTAATCTACCTTATATATGTGTATAAAACTTACAGTCCATGTTAAATTTAAAGATATGGAATAAAATAGAATTGTGGGATTTTTTTAAATGACATTTTTCTTCAATAATGTAAATCTTATTCATATTTTCTTCATGCTTGTTTCTACTGTTGCTATCAAGTATGTCAAACTATGGTGAGGCAATCAGAATAAATAAGAGAATGCCTATTGTCTTAATGTGTGAGAGTTTTATTCATAGCATCAACAGAAAATCATGAGATTATTAAGCGAATTTTAAACTGTTGTTTTTTCCAGTTTCTAGTCATATTCTATGTCTTGGGATAGAATTGTATCTCAGAGTTGAAGCAGTCATATAAAATCAATACTGTTTTTTTCTAAGTAGTACTGTTATCAAAGCCATCAAGTTGAATTTGTTGCTTAGGATCATTCTGATCCAGGCCCAGGTGTGATAGTGCAATACTATATTGATTTCAAGGCAAACCTGGGCTCCATGACATGACCTTGTCCAAAACAAAACAAAACAAAAAGTAAGCAAGATGGCATATTAGGAGCCATGAATGAGAAAAGTTAGATAACTCAAGAGAGACTATCTTTTGAAGAATGAAAATAAGAAGAACAGCTTTTGGAAACCTGAAAGAGGAGTACAATCAGAAGAAAAGCAAGGAGAAACCAATCAGCAGAGAAAAGCAGCAAATAGTTCCAAACTCTAACAAGGCTCCCCTCAGGTGAGGAAAGGGACCCTGAAAATGGAAGTACAAAGTAGCCAAAGGACCCTGGTGACAGGCTTGTAATTCTAGTTGCAAAATAACAACATGCCACTGTCCAAGCTTCCTATCCAATGCAGGAATTTAGTAAGGCAGAGACTGCTTCAGTGTGTAGCACTTTACATAAATGAAGCTCAGGATGGCAGATCTGTGCAGCAGTCACAAAGCAGAGCTAGAGCTCCCTGTCCATCCTGACTTACCACTGAATTCTATGAAGGGAGGACTCTATATAAGCCTTAAAGGTCTTAAAGTCCAGCCTCCCACTGTGAAGAGCAGACTCAACCTTTGTTTTTTGTTGTTTTTTTTTATTGTGTTTTGTTTTTCTTCCTCCAAACCCCAAAGGCCTCCTCAACTGCACTAAGGAAAGGACTAACCAAGTACTTAGCAAATCAGTGGGGATTTTTATTTTTTTTGAGACAATGAACTATATATATGTATGTGAGACAACCCAGTGTAATATACAACTGTATGATCTACTTAGTGAATTTAGAAGGTGAGGGTAGGCTTTTCACAGCATAAACCTTGGGCTGAGTAAGTAACTGAAGCATTTTGAACCCCCATTTGTTGGAAGCAGCTCAGCCAAAATCAAGAGACTTACCCCACCTCAATACTGAGGCTGCATGATCTCAGAAACAGATATGTTGCCAGAGCTAGAAGTTCCCTGCTTGCTGGAAGAACCATCATACTGAGAAGTACCACCATGTACTTCCCCAAGCAACACCCCCAGCAGTGTTAGGAGTCACAGAGCTGGGAAGCACCTCTTGCTTGCACATATTACAGAAAGAATTCCACCTGCATGCTAGGGATTGGCCATCACAACCCTGCTTTCCCTGAAGCTATAGCACCCAGAGCCAACCATCATGCCCACACTATACCTATAGAGGAACTGCTACAGGCTCCCAACCAAAGGGAATCGGCACCAAACATACAAAAGGAACTGCAGAAGGATCTCTAAGGGCCAAAATTTGGAAGAAAACAGCAGACACTCATGCAAGGCTGTAAAGAAGAATGAATGTTACTTGTAGGAAAATGGATGGAACTGAAGTTACCATGTGAAGTCAAATAGGCCAATTTCAGGAAGATAAATATTGCATATATTCTCTTGTATGTGGAATCAATACCTAAAATATATATGTGTATTTGTATGTGTGTGCATGTCTCTGTGCATTTATATTATGTTACTTATCTGTAACATGAATGTAATTGTGGGACTGGAAAGGGAGAGGAAGAAAAGGAAAATGGGAATTAAGTAATATTAAAGTAGCCAGGCACTGGTGGCTCATGCATGTAATTCTAGCTATTCAGGAGGCTGACATCTGAGGATCGTGGTTCAAAGCCAGCAGGAGCAGGAAAGGCTGTGAAACTCTTATTTCCAGTTAACCACTGGAAATCTGGAAGTGGTGCTATGGCTCAAGTGGTAGAGTGCTAGCCTTGAAGAGCTAAGGGACAGCTCTCAGGCCCAGAGTTCAAGCCCCATGTCTAACAAAAAAAGTAGTATCAAATTACATTGAGTCTATATATGAAGATGACATAATGAAACCTACTAAAAACTGTTTAAAAATAAGAGGTGGGGTAAGAGGATAGGGATAAGAAAGAGCATCAATATGATCAAAATACAATATGTAGACATGAAATAGCACCTTGAAACTTTTTTTTTGGTGGGTCCTGGGGCTTGAACTCTGGGCCTAGGTGCTATCCCTCAGCTCTTCAGCACAAGGCTAACACTCTATCACTTAAGTCACAATGCCACTTCCAGTTTTCTGGTGGTTTATTGGAGATTAGAGTCTCACAGACTTACCTGCCCAGGCTGGCTTTGAACCATCATCCTTAGATCTCAGCCTCCTGAGTAGCTAGGATTACAAGCATGAGCCACGGGTAACCAGCTTAATAAATCTTTTCTTTTCTTTTCTTTTCTTTTCTTTTCTTTCTTTCTTTTTTTTTTTTTTTTGTTGGTTATGGAGCTTGAACTCTAGGTCTGAGCACTGTCCCCTCAGCTTTTCAGCTCAAGGCTAACAGTCTACCACTTGAGCCACAGCTCCACTTCATTTTTTGTTTTTGGGGGGTTTTTGGCCAGTCCTGGGGCTTGAACTAAGGACCTGGGCACTGTCCCTGAGCTTCTTTGGCTCAAGACAAGAGCTCTACCAACTTGAGCCACAGCACCACTTCTAGCTTTTTCTGTATGTGGTACAGAGGAATCGAACTCAGGGCTTCACGCATGCTAGGCAAGCACTAAGCCACATTCCCAGCCCCTTGGAACCTTTTTATACAATGATATTTGCTATTTTTTAATCATTCTATTCTAGATAACATATAAGTAAAATGAAATCTAAATGCTTATAAAGCAAAGCTGAATAAATTAATGTTTTTCTAAGATTTGGATTAATCATTGTTGAAGAAAATAAATTTAAATGTTATTATTAAAAGCATTGCTCTATCTTTTCTAGGAAATAGAAAGATTAAAACAAGAAATTGATAATGCCAGAGAACTACAAGAACAGAGGGACTCTTTGACTCAGAAACTACAGGTGAGTTACAGTGAAATTTTTCTTTATTTCATTATAGAAAGCCATTATTCTTTCACTGAGCAATGACATTTTTCTGAATCGTATGTAGCAGACTTCAGACATTTTTATTTTCCAGTGCTTCTGATTCATACCTAATCTTCGATTTTTTTCAAAAATTACTTGGTAATTTCATCTAAGTAGGTTATAATTATTGGTGGCCATTTATAAATTGTTATTAATTTATTTTGGAAATTTCTACTTTTATCCATTAAAAGTATCATGAATTATGAAAATTTTTCTCTAATAGTTTTCATTCTGTTTAGGTACTCTGCTTTTATAAGATCTATTGAGCTGGTGTATAATTTACAGCAGTGGTTTGAACCTCGTAAAATGCAAGATTTTTCTAATTCATTTTATTTTTCTTTGTATGAGCAACATGCTTCCTAATTTTCATTTACGTACATGCATACTATCATCAATGAGAGACAGTGAAGAAAAATTTTTCAGAATTCATTACAAAATTCTCCTCTTGCCAACTCAGGCACTTTTTTTTCCTCATATATCTTCTTGGTTAGCCTGAGAGTACTTCAGAGAAGATATAAAACCACTTTAGAATCGAAATAAATTACTGAATAAAGGATTTTAATAGGCCAAGTTAAGAGGAATGTGATAGATTCGTAGAAATACCAGGTGAGTGAACCAGTAAGAATGAACAAAACTGAATACAGGAAGCTAAAACGTGTTTTGTCAGGGAGACAGTGATGTAAAGAGGCAGAGAGAGAAATGTGGATGAATAGTCATTATAAATTCAATAAACGTGAATATGGAAGTAGATAACTTGACGGGGATAGATGGGGTTAAGAGAGAGAGAGGAAAACAGCGGAAGGGGTGACATTAAACAAGATACATTGTACTTATAAACTGATATATTGAATTGAAATAGCTTTGTACAACTGCATAAAGATAACAAAAATTTAAGAATAAAAAAAGTCTGAAAAAAGAATGAACAACATTTATTAAGTACAAGCTCTATACAGCTGCTGTGCTAAGCATTTTACTTACATTATATATTTAATTCATACAACAATAAAACCCAAAAGAATTCCAGGCTCAGAGAAATTAATTTATTGAACTTATATTTAAATGGAAACAGCCAAATTCTAACACTTATGTCCTTTTCTACCAAACTGTTTCCTTTGGCCTCTACTGACACTGGCTTTTCATAGTATAAGGAAATGAAATTTCTCATTTTAAGCTGGTCAGTGGTTGCTCACATCCATACTGCTAGCTACTCAGGAAACTGAGGTCTGAAGGATTGTGGTTCTGGGCCAGCCTAAGAAGAAAACTATGAAGTTCTATCTCCAAAATAAGGGACCAACATCAACAGAACCAGAACTGAAGGTATGGCCCAACTGGAAGAGCTCTAGTCTAAAAAGTGCAATTACATTTTAATTGTCTATATGGATTAATGTTTTTCATCTTGGGGCATTTTACATCCAGGAGGCATTTAACAATGTGTGGAGATATTTTTCATTTTTACAACAAAACACCTACTAGGTAAACCCAGGAATGCTGCTGAACATCAGATTATCTGTCCCAGAATGTCTAGAGTAATGAAGTTGAAAAACCTTGAGGGAGAAACAGAATATAAAGCATGTAATATGAGCTGGAAGCAAATGATGTGGAAGAATTCAGGCTAGTTTTTTTTCTTTCCAGTTTTGAGTGACTCCATTATATGTTACGACTTGGCTATTACTCAGATAAATTGTTATTCACATACATACATTCCCTCTAGTTCTCACACCATCAAGTAGGGTATCAAGGGCCGAGACCAGTTCAAAGATGTTAAGCTTAATCAAGGCCCTTAGCTACCTTGTTCAAAGATGTTAACAAGTTACATCAAAGTACTTGTTTGATTCTAAAGCTTCTGTCCTTTCTGTATCTACCACATTTTTTTTAGTAACAAATACTTAAGCTATCCCTAATTACACTTAAAACATTTTTGTCAGTGTAAATTTTTCTCATTTATAGTGTCCATAGCTTGTGAAGAAAAATCTACAAATCTAAAATGGTTTATTCCTTATCTTAATTCTTTTCCCCTTTATTCTAAAAGGCTCTTTTCCTTTTATCCTTTTCTCAAAAGGCTGTTGCCATCCCTAGACTGCCTCTTCAAGTTTCAAACATAATTTTTTTTTAGTGCTGTCCTAGGGCTTGAACCCAGAGGTAGGTGTTATCCATGCTCTTTTTTTTCCCTCAAAGCTAGCACTCGACCACTTAAGCCATGGCTCTATTTCTGGCTTTTGATGGAGGGTAGTTTATTAGAGAATCTCATAGACTTTTCCTGCCCATGCTGGCTTTGAACCACAAGCCTTAGACTCAGCATCTGAGTTGCTAGAATTACAGATAAAAGCTAGGCTTACAGGCTTGAGTGTCTACCCCCACCCCCACACACACCTTTTTTAAGTTATCCATTGTGTTCTACCATGACAACAACAATTACTACTGCTGCTGCTGCTACTACTACTACTACTTTTTTAGTGTCTTGGAACTGTCAGTGGTCTTTCTCCTTTGTAGGGTTATTGTGGTTCGGTTTCTGATCTTCCATCTTCTCTTCACTATTTTGTGCATTGTCCCCATGACCTCCCTCAATAAAAGATAAGAGAGCTTGAGAAGTACTCTGCATAAATTTACACTTTCTTTTTCTTCTTTCCTTCTTCCTTCATTCCTTTCTTCCCTTCCCTTTCTTTTTTTGTTCTGTCTTACCTTTCCTTCTTCCTTCCTTCCTTCCATCTTCCTTCCTTCCTTTCATTTTCCTTCTTCCCTCCCTCCCTTCCTCCCTTCCCTCTTCTTCCTATCCTTCTTTTCTTTTTCTTTCTTTTTCTCTCTCATTCTTTTCTCTCTTATTCTTTCTCCTCCCACCCTCTCTTTCTTGAACTAAGGGCCTCACACTTGCTCAGTTTGCTTGCTTACTAGCACTCTGCCACTTGTGCTGTACCTCTCACCCAGTATTTTGCTGGTTAATTGGAAATGGAATCTCACAGACTTTTATACCGAGGCTGGCTTCCATGGGTGATCCTCCACTTCTCTCTCAGTCTCTTGAGTGAGCCTACATCTTGATTAAACTTACATATTTTAATGACAGGCAACTTGAGCCTTATTCAGGTTCTTTCTTGTAGTTGCATTAAAGTCATGAGACTTGAATGCTTTTATTCCTTTTGCCCGTTGATATAGTTTGAAGAGGATGATTAGTAGAAGTCAGTGTACACAGTTACCTTGTTGTATAGAAAATTTCTTGCTTTACTGTTTTTGTAACAGTTATTGCTCATTTTTGTGATAATTATTTCTGTCATTTTTACTGATTTTGAGGTGTCTTTCAAGTAAAATACAAGTATATAAAGGTGAGAACAAAAAATACAATTTTAACTTAAAGCAATAAGTTAAGCAGTGAATGTGACATGAACAAGGGAAATCTTCATAAGTGTACTGAAATTCAAAGAACAAATTCTCAAAATATATTCTGGCAGTTTCTTTTCTCAGGGTATTCTTTGTTTTCCCTGTCCTTCAGATTGTAGAGCATATCCTTTATATCCCTGTTTTTCAGACTGTAGACAAATGTCACTCTGTTATACACAAATGGGAATTTAGACATCACAAGATGAAGGCAATAATTCTGTAATAGAGTGATTTCAGTGAGGTGAGAGATAGGTAGAAAAGGCTTTGTGTTGCTCTTTAGTGAAACACAATTAGGGATTCTCATCACAATGTGAGAGAGACAATGACAGAGCTCAATAACAGAGATAACTGAATAGGAAAGTTTTAACAAAGAAGAGAAGTCATGAAAAAAAGTGATCTATCTGATTTGATTTATGAAAGCACAAACTCAATAAACAACTATTAAATGTCCAAACATTCATACAAACAGCCATATAGGAGGTTCCAATAAGAGGATATAGATACTGAAACATTTGGATGTAAAAGAGCAGGAGTGAGCTGATGGCCACATAGCAATTGTAGGCCAGGGGAGCCAGCAGGAAGCACTCAGCTATACTAAATGTTATTATATAACAGAGTTGGGCTTCACAACTAGCTACAGGCTCCATGTCCAAGGAATCCTATAAGCATTGTAGCATTGTAGGCATGACTGATGTACATAATCCAATGTCCTCAAAAGCCAGATGGCTAATGGCCAAAGAACATGTATGTAGGGGTGTATAGGCTTGGAATAGTTTCTTTTGTTTTCTTTTTTTTGTCAGTCATGGGGCTTGAACTCTGGGCCTGGATGCTGTCCCTGAGTTCTTCAGCTCAAGGTGAGGATTCTATCACTTGAGCCACAAGCCATTTCCTGTTTTCTGGTGGTTTATTGGAGATAAGAGTTTCATAGATTTTCCCCAGGCTGACTTTGAACTGTGATGCTCAGATCTCAGCCTCCTGAGTAGCTAGAATTACAGGTGTAAACCATCTGTGCTGGGCTGGAATGGTTTCTTAAAATGATCATGCTGATGTTCCTACTAAAGTGGCAACTCCAATCTTATGTGAACTAGTCCTAGGAGGGAGGAAGGGAGGGAAGAAAGGAAGGAAGGAAAGAAGGAAGGAAGGAAGGGAGGGAGGGAAGGGAAGGGAAGAAGGAAAGAAAGAAAAAGAAAGAAAGAAAGAAAACCCATTAAATGAGGAAGGTGGGGAGAATGCAGCCCAATTATTCAATGAATATCCTATAAAATTAAGAAAATTGCAGGATTTTGTGGAGGTGGGAGGGAAGGGATGGTAGGGGAAAAACAAAGGAGGAGGCAACAATCCTTGATAAGAAATGTACTCTCATTACCTTGCTCATGTGATTGTAACCCCTCTGTACAGTGTTTTCACAATTTTAAAAAACATTAAAAAAAAAGAAAATTGCAGGATTAGAGGCATGGCTCAGGTTGTAGAAAGAAAATTGAAGGGAGGGATTGGGTTGAGGGAGAAGGGAGAGAATAATGAAATGGGTGCCATCAATTAAGCTGCATTGTATTTATAAGCTGGTTTGTTGAACAGTGATTTCTTTGTACAAATACTTAAAGATAATAACATAATTTAAGAAATTAAAATAATATTAAAAATGAAATTCATTAAAAACACAGTTCCTGCAAATAATAAAAGTTGGCTTATTATATTTATTCTTAATTCCAGTGGATGATTGGACATGATACCTAATATTAGTCTTTTCCACAAATGAATTATATTCATATTTTCAAAGTAATATTTTGTGTAAATGTTTCACTCTTCAGTTCTTTTCAGAGAAAACAAGATATATTATGAAACCTCTTTTTTTTGGGGGGGGGAGTCAGGTCGTGGGGCCTGAACTCTGGGCCTGAGCACTGTCCCTTGGCTCTTCAGCTCAAGGCTAGCTCTCTACCACTTGAGCCACAGCGCCACTTCTGGCTTTTTTCTTTTTGCTTATGTGGTGCTGAGGAATCAAACCCAGGACCTCAGGCATGCAAAGCAAGCGCTCTACCACTGAGCCAGCTTCCCAGCCCATATTATGAAACCTCTTAATAATACCTTCTCAGCTGCTGGACTTGCACATTTTGCTCAACATACTTCCTTGATTCTCAGTTTCTGAGATGTCAGTGCATTGTTGCTGTCAGAGAGTAATTCAGTGATGGTGGTCAGGAAGCATACTGTATTAAAACAAGAGCTATCTTTATCTGGGCACTGATGGATCACTCCTGTAACCCTAGTGACTCAGGAGGCTGAGAAAAGAGGATTGCAGTTCAAAGCCAGCCCAGGCAGAAAGTCTATAAGACTCTTACCTCCAATTAAACACTAGAAAATGGAAGGAGAAGCTCTGACTCAAGTAGCCTTGAGCAAAAAAAGCTCAAGGACAGTGCCCAGGCCCTGAGCTCAAGGCCCAAAACCAAACAAAACAAAAGGAAAAAAACCTCTTTATTTATTTACTACTTTATCCTCAATACCTAATAATAGAAGATATTTAGTCACCAGTTGTTTAATAGTTGTTCTTCAGAATGTACATTGTGTGCATCTTCTACCCATTTTTCTGGTCAAAAATTAGTTTTTATACTTGTCTTTATGTTTATGTTCTATTATATAGGATGGTACAGATGAGTAAGGTATTAATAAAGATAAGTTTTGGCTTTATATAGATTAAATGATGTAGGATTAGAACTTAGTGAAAAACTGATTTGGAGTTATTGGTGATGGTCATAATATAAATTGTTGGTGGTGGTGGTGGTCATGGGGTTTGAACTCTGGCTTGGTCACTGTCCCTGAGCTCTTCATCTCAAGGCTATCGCTCTACCACTTGCCACTGTGCCGCTTCCAGGGAGTTTTTTTTTTTTTTTTTTGAGTGGTTAATTGGAGGTAAAAGTCTCACAGGGACTTTCCTGCCCAGGCTGGCTTTGAACCGCAATCCTCAGATCTCAGCCTCCTGAGTAGCTAGGATTACAGGTGTCAGTCACCATCACCTGGTATAGTATAAATTTTTAAAGCTTTAGTGTTTTAATCTCTATAGCTAACTAATACAGAATTGACCTGCCCAGCTGAATTTTAGACACTTAGTTTTTGCCCTTTAAAGTACTTAAAATGGAGTTAAAAGTTGTACCTGAAATATTCTTTGAGTCAGAATCATGCTTGTGGTATATGTCTTACATCAGTAAAGGAAAAGACGGTATTAATAAACGCACATATTAAGTAGAAGACTAAATGTGGGAGAGAGCAAAAATCATAGAGGAGAAGTTTGACATTGCTGGCCCTTGCTTTAATTATGTCTGGTTGTCCCTTGTTCACTAGGTTATCTATTCTTCCCTAAGAACATATTCTCAAGGTGGGCACTGGTGGCTCATACCTATTATCCTAGCTGCTCAGGAAGCTGAGATCTAAGGATTGTGGTTTAAAACCAGTCTGGTTAAGAAAGTCTGTGAGACTGGTGATCATCTACCAATAAGCCAGAAGTAAATCTATGGCTCAAATAGTAGAGCACTAGCATTGTGCAAAAAAACTTAGGGATAGCAACCAGGCCCAAAGTGCCAAGCCCCAGGACCATACACACAAAAAACACAAAAAAGAAAATATTCTTTCTGCCTAAACGTAGACTAGAATCATAAGAATTATATTAGATCCATGCTGGGAAGGTGGCTCAGTGGTAGAGCGCTCCCCTTGCATGCCTGAGGCCCTAAGTTCGATTCCTCAGCACCACATAAGCAAAAAGAAAAAAGCCAGAAGTGGCACTATGGCTCAAGTGGTAGAGAGCTAGCCTTGAGCTGAAGAGCTGAGGACAGCACCCAGGCCCAGAGTTCAGGCCCCACGACCGGACCCAAAAAAAAAAAAAAGAATTAGATCCATTTTGTTATCTAGCAAGTAAAACTCCTTTAAACAGAGAAATGGCTTAGAGTTGGCGATCCATTCTAGAGGTATAAGAAAATTTAGTAACTGAAAGTACTTTGTTTTGGTTGGTTCCATTGAAAATGTTGGCTGTTTCATTGATTGGCAAAGAGAACAAGGGACCTTTCATTTTATGGAAGGCTTTAGAGGGCAAACTGGGTGGTGGCTGGTGATGTGGGTGTTTGCTTATGAATGACATTCAGTCTATTTTTAAAGTTGGAAACATTCTATCTCTTAAGCTTATTGTATAAACCAGCATAAAAGCATGCTGTGCAATCATGAGTGGAATTTTCACATGTGATTATAATAACCATTTCTTCATAGTTTATACCCTCTGTGGATTTGACCTCTGAATTTATACTTTATTAACTTCAGATTGTGTTCTTTTTTTCTTATCTGCACCTTGCAGACTTTCAAAGAATGAAAAATAGAAACATATAGCTAATATATGTCAACAGTAAATACTTTGAGATGAAATTATATCCTTAAACTCTTCATTTATAAATCATTATGTTTTATTCCTTTCTTAAATATTGCCAGACTCTTACAACTCATCTGTGGCATACTTACTTGACTTGTACATAATTATCTGTCAAACGTGATTAAAGCCAATCTTAGTGGCTCATTCCCAGTAATTCCAGCTACTTGGAAAACCAAAAAAGGCCACGGTCATGGTCTAAGGTCTACATGTGCTACAAACATGAAGCCTTATCTAAAAAGTAACTAAAACATAAGACGGGTTTTGGCTTGCATGGAGAATATATGACCAGCAAGTGTGTGACCCTGATTTCAAACTCTCGTGCCACAAAAATGTGGTTATTGGCTGGGCGCAGGTGGCTCACGCCTGTAATCCTAGCTACTCAGGAAGCTGAGATCTGAGGATCGTGATTCAAAGCCAGCCCAGGCAGGAAAATCCATGAAACTCTTAATTCTAATAAACCACCAGAAAACTGGAAGTGGTGCAGTAGCTCAAGTCATAGAGTGCTAGCCTTGAACTGAAGAGCTGAGGGACAGCACTCAGGCCCAGAGTTCAAGCCCCACAACCCACAAAAAAAAAATTTTTTTAACGTGGTTATTGTCAGAATTCTAAATCTACTACTGTTTTCTTAAATGTATGTGAGTCTATTTTCTAATTATTTTTCTCAATTTAATTTTTGAATGTAGTGTGAAAAAAATAAATTTAGGGACAAAGTGCTCATAATCCTAACAGCAGAACTATTTCCTATTTTCTCTTTGTGCACTGATTGCCAGTGCTTGTCCTCATAGTAACAAGTGTTTGCCCAGTTGTAGTGAGCTGCTTCCTAAGCTGTTCTTTTCACTTAATGTTTAACAGATTGTCTCTGAAAAATACAATTAAGATTTTTTTCCACTGTCCTTTAAAAACTTGATGAAGGTCATTTAGAAATTTACATTTAGATGATATATTTGAAGTATCTTATTTTCTGTGGCTAACTCATATTGTATAACTAACACCAAATGTTTTCCATTGTCTCATTCATATTTGAATATGATTTGTGTCATACTGTCTCATATATGTGTCTTCTAATTCATAACTTTCAGTTCATTGCTTATCTGAATCTTATTTAAAGCATAATAGTTGATTTTTGCAATATTTTATTTGAATTTTAATTGAAATTAAAGCATATTAGCTTTCCTGGCTTTTTTTTTATATTTTTCATGTTTAGAAACACTGTTAAGTGCTACAATAACTTCTAATAATTTTCAGGTATGTCAGTTTATTCTGTATGAAAATTGTAAAACAATTTTTGTTATAAACTCTTGTTTCCCTTCTGTCATGTTTTTCTCTTCTCAGTTTTCAGACTAGTGGAATTGACAGCTTTATATTTCTAATATGTACAGTTAGTATGTATCTTCACTATATTTTTTAGCAGGTGAACTATATTCTTATAGTTCATTCCTTTGATATTTGAGACAATGCAGAACAATTAATGTATTCAACCCTTCAGCACTATTTTTGAGAGTTACTTTCTACTCTAGCTCTCCAGAGTTACCTGCTTTCACTTGGGATTGTTTATAGTTACATGTTTCCTACAATAGCTAGGCAACAATAAAAATTATATGCAAATATTCTTCAAAGTAGGTATTTAAGCCTATCTCGTATGTGAAGCACCTAGAGTGCTGCCTGGCACAAAGTAAGAAGTCAACACTGACAGTTTGTTGGGGGGATAGATGGATTCATAAACCATATGACTTTCTGAGATGACCTAATCTGAAATTTCTTTCAGTCATGTTAAACTGAGCTCCAGAAGCTTATCCTGATCATCAGACTTACTACATGATCCTGGTAATAGCAGAAAGTTATATTGTTCTGTAAATAATTAATTGACATTTATGTATATTATACTTTTGTTTCTAAAGGAAGTAGAAATTCGGAACAAAGACCTGGAGGGACAACTCTCTGACTTAGAGCAACGTCTGGAGAAGAGTCAAAATGAACAAGAAGCTTTTCGCAATAATCTGAAGACACTCTTAGAGATTCTGGATGGAAAAATATTTGAACTAACAGAATTACGAGATAACCTGGCCAAGCTACTAGAATGCAGCTAAGGAAAGTTAAATTTCAGTGCCAATTGATTAAAAGATACACTGTCTCTCTTCATAGGACTGTATGGGCTCTGCATCAAGATTGCACAAAATTTTTTGATTATCACTCCTCCAGGAGGAGAATCTTTTGAAAATTGGAATTGTATATTTCAGTGTAAATTTTAGAATTCAGCTTATAGGTAGTTGGGGAAAAAAAGGATGAAAAACTTGAACTACAAATTACCTCCATGTATATTATTGGCCATAGTTAACTAGAACGATATAAATAGACACTTAATGCAATCTTTTTTTTCTGATATTAGCCAATGGGAGAATTAACAATGTCTGGGTCACATCCTCTTTTTTGTGTTCAACACAGTGAAGATTATCGGCTTTTAAAATTAATTTATTTATGATATCTAGAGCTGTGTTTTGTGCAAAAACTGAGTAATGAAAGCCCTGTCTTTTGTTGTAATCTAAATAATTTCTCAGGATATTTTTGCACTGCTGAGAAGCAGTGCCATTACCAATTAATTCTTGCCAGGAGTGAGAGAACGCTGCATCTTTAATTTAAAAACAAAAACACTATAACTGGGTGTATAGACTTCTTCCCTTTTTTGTACTGGAAGATTTTTCACTCTGGTGACTACTCTGGTACATTCTGGTGTTCTCTAATCTTGTCTGTTGTGTAGTTTACTTTTCCATATTGATTCCATGTATTTATGAGAGGATATTGTCTCCCATTTTATTACATATTTTAAAGCCAACTAACAAAGGCAGCTGAGTCCCTCAGAAATTTTTCTTTTTAAATTTCTAATAAATTTGACAACACAGAACTGAAATACAGCAGCCCGTCACTGACGGTCTGGTCTAGCAATGTTAAGTATCTTTACAGAAAAATATGCAGTTACATTTATTTATATATTTTGCAAGAAACCTTTTCTGAATGATCAATACATTTCAATTTATGAATATTAATGGTTGTTGGGGAACTGTTTATTATAGATAATTTTAAGGTGTATAGCAATTTTCAAGGGGATCCATTTACATCAGAGGACTATATCTAAATTGTGATCGTGGCATATGAGATGGAGTTAAGTACTCTATCTGGTCTTTACATCAACCACATCTTTATTCAAACTTCACAAGGCAATATTCTGAACTGTTAACTAGGCATTTCAAAACAGGAATTACATTCAACAGGCTCTTCTCAGTGAGCAGGTTTTAATGTTGTTTTGATGTAATTTTAAAAGACTTTTAGCAAATATGCATTTCTTTATATATTTCTTTTATGAAGCTATTTTAAAAGTAAGCCAAGTGCTATCTGGTCTGCTTATGGAGTAGGAATTGCATCAGAGTACATATATTCTTGCTGTACAATGCCTGTGATGTTGAGGAAGGTTCTTTTTTAGTGTATGCCTGAATATCTGACTCATGGAGCTGATGAATGCACTGATTTTGTTTGTACCCCAAATGATTGAATTGTTAAGTACAAAATTAATTAATCAATTTGTAACCATTTTTCACTCATAAACAGCTATTTAACACTAGATAATTTTGTTTTATATTTATGTGTATGTACATAAATACATACATCTTAATTTATATTAGAGTGGAAAATAAACGGTTTGTTTCTAAAGTTAGTTTCTACAAGTGAGTTTGCAAGTGTCTCTGACACTCCTCATGTATTATATGTGCTGTAACATCATGTAAGTTGCCTCCATCTACTTTAGGATATTTTCCTAACCTATTTATTAGAGGGAGAATAGTTTAGGTTCATATGCTCAGAGCTAAGATGCTTCTCTGATAAATCAGGTAATAAAATGTAACTGATGGATAGAATTTTGAAGTGGATATGGTTTTATCCATGAATTTCTGAACAAAACAGAATGACAAGTTTTAATTTAAATAAGGGGCTAAAAGTAGGGATCAGGGAATTAAGTTATGAAAGGTTAAACAATCTAAAAAATATATAGGCTGTTGAAATGGTAAGTGAATTATTTTAATGATGTAATAAAATATTTTTAAATTTTGGCATAGTGATCATTTAATGGGAAAATAACTCACCAAAATGTCTCCACAGGAATTGTATTGATAATGTGAGAAGTGTAATTCAATATATACATATACCCATATGTATATACAGAAAATTATTTTTAATATTTTCCTACTGATATGAAACTTAAAATTGGAAATTTTGTGAGTGTCTTCCTTGTCCAATAGAGCATAATTGTTGATTTTTTCTTTTCTTTTTTTTTAGTGATTTAACAATTTCTTGAGGGCTGCACCTTTAAATTCCCAGATTGTCAATAGACATGTACAGCTAATGGGATAAGGTGGACACAAGTGCACATATAAATAAAATCTTATTAAGGCTGTTTTAAACACTCATTTATTACAATTAGGAGAGTATCTAGAAATCATAAGTCATATTTAGGTTGTGTACTGTAATTTTTTTCATTTCTGTATTATATAAATAACATTTGCATATTAAAATTTGATTTTTCCCAGAGACTAGTATTCTATAATGTATCTATATTTGAGATCAAACTGTGGTAATATATTTGTCAGAACATAATATTGGGGACTATAGCCTGAACACGTGGACTTAGAGTGACACACAGGAGGAAAGCAGTGACCAATCCCATTGTGTATAAGTTCCTTGATAACTGAGTTCTTGTACAAAATTGAAAACTGGAAAAAAGACAAAAATATACTTTTTATTTTGAAATATAATTTGTTGTTCTCTGGAGAATGTACTTCATCTTTTTTTTTCTTCTTCAGTCTTTTACCTATATTTTAAAGCATTTAAGTGATGACGGCATTTACTTAAATCTCACAGGTGCTACTGGATTTTACATTAGTGTGTCATGCTGTGAAATCCTGACTTTCACATAAAAGGTTTTATAAGTATTTCCCTGCCTGGAAAATTAGTTTTTATACTTCTCCTACTGCCCTAATCCATTCTTCCCTCCCTTGCCTCACTTCCCTCCGCCCACCCCTGCAACAAGAAAGAGTTCACCGAGTTGCTCCTTGTCCCTATTGAAGACCTCCTGCACCATTATAGATTTTATGTTTGGCTGCCATGGAACTGTTGGGAAATACTTTAATCCTTGTACTTTTTTAGGTGAAACTAAAAAGGACACTCAAAATTAAGCCAACACAATCATCTTTGAAAACTCATTTCTTTGCCCTGTTGAAATTAAACATATTCTTTACCATGTGTGCCTCCGTCGTCCATGTTTTCCTTTAACTCTGGAGCATGCACTCCAGCTGCTTTCTTCTGTGATCCTTTCTGCTGTGCCGGCATTGGAGAAAGACCAAGGGAAAGCTTGTGGGGTTAACATTGTAGTTTCACCCCTTTATTTGGTTGGTATGAAATGATTTATCATTCTGAAATTTAATGTTTAGAAACATGAAGAAGTTTTCATTCAGCTTTTGTCTTTTGCATGTGTAGCATTGTTCCCTCTTCATTCATGAGGTAAATTAGTTTATATGAAATCTTTTCTGTATATAATGCTGGGGCGGGGGTGGAGGGGAGGGGGAGAGTCAAACCCAGGTCCTTGAATATCATGAGCAAGTACACTGCCAATGAGCTGCACCCCTATAAAATCTTAAAGAAGAAAACTTGCAGGTAAGAAATAGCTGAGACTGATGCATTTTAAAATAATTCTCAATGCTTTAACTGCAGCAGGAATAAGTTATTTGTTGAGAAGATAATTCTTTCTAGTAATCATTAGGAAAGGATAATTTTGGAATGAAAGTAGATGTGTATTTCATTTTACTCTACAAGTCTCACTTTTTGCTGAGGCTGGCCTAGAACCAAGATCATAATGATCTCCACTTACCAAGTAGCTGGGATCACAGGTAGTCATCACCACATCCATCATAGGACACTTAACTAAATATATTTTACATTCACTTTTAAACTTCTATAATGCTTATAATGCTTATAAATTATATTTTCTTTGTCCATGCTTTATTTATAGAGCATATTTTAGCTCAATTTGAAGCAAAATCAATTTCTTTTTTTTTTCTTTTTTTTTTGCTGGTCGTGGACCTGAACTCTGGGCCTGGGTGCTGTCCCTCAGCTCTTCAGCTCAAGGCGAACACTGTACCGATTGAGCCACAGTGCCACTTCTGGCTTTTTCTGTTTATGTGGTGCTGAGGAATCAAATCCAGGGCCTCATGCATGCAAGGCAAGCGTTCTACCACTGAGCCACCTTCCCAGCCCATAAAATCAATTTCTAATAAGTAACTTTTCATATGCAGAATTTCAGGCTATTGACTTTAAGTGACAAACTTAAATGAAAAGTCTTCAGACATTTAGAAGATAAGAGTAGGCCAGCACAGATAAAACATGGGATAAGATGTGAGAAACGGGATAGAGGAGGAGGCAAGACAGTTCAGGATCTTTCTAAGGTTATATGGAAGATTTGGATTTCATTCTTAAAGGTAATGGAAAGATAGTAAGGGGTCTTTGTTATTTTGTTGATGCAAAGGAATAGTATCAAATTTAAGTTTTCAAGACGAGGCAGTTTTATAAATCACAGTAACCCTCCTAAGAGACTGCTATAACAGCATGTGAGGGGGAGGGGGTGGAAAAACCCAGTGATGGAGTCAGCAAGTAGTTTGCTCTTCTTGATTCATTTATATGGCAGGCCAGAGAAGAGTATAGGATGGCACTTGACCTCTTGAATTGGACAACCATTAGTGAACTCAAGGTGGAGACAAGCTTGGTTTGGTGGAGGTGAGGAGGCAGAGAGAAGATGAACAAGTTTCTGTGCAGATTTGTTTTTTCCTCTGCTGAGCTAGGGTAAAGAAGTTTGTTTCATTTTGAGTTTAGCAAGCCTGTAGGATATCTGAGTGCAGCTTTGAGTTTAGGTATAGCTTAGGAGAAAAATCCACAGACATTTGAAGATGTACATTTGGGAATTTTGTGTGATTAGGGCATAAGAAATGTAGAGAGTTCAGGATGAGTACATGAACTTGGGCTTCATCATGGAAGCTGAGAATGGAATTCCAGAAAGACAAAACAGCTCCTCAACTCCTATCTTGGAATAATGGTCATCATACTATTCCGTTGATATCTTTCACTGATAGTTGATTTGGGGAGGGAGTGGGGTCAGTCCTGGGGCTTGAACTCAAGGCCTGGGCACTGTCCCTGAGCTCTTTTGCTCAAGGATAGGGCTCCACCACTTGAGCCACAGCGCCACTTCCAGTTTTCTGGTGGTTAATTGGAGATACAAGTCTCATAGACTTTTCTGCCCAGGCTGGCTTCAACGCACAATCCTCAGTTCTCAGTCTCCTGAAGAGCTAGGATTACTGATACTTTTAAGATACATCTTAGCTGTAAGGGAAATAAAAACCCACAAACGAATACACTGAGTTTAATGTTTTAAAACATTGAAATTGAGCAGATATCATGAGGTACCAGGTTAGCAGATTTGTGGGGGTTTTTTTCCCACAGGTTGAAAGAAAAGGCCATCTCTGGGTAGTAAGCCCTTTTTTTGTATCGCAGACTAGGTGAGCTGAGAAAGAATTCCTCGGGGCTTTCTCAGTGAATGTAGCTAAACAAAAAAGACATCTCTGGAAGGTGACATCTGTTCTCTCTAGACAATGTGTCATGTTTCTTTATGAAAATAGTTCTATTTTCCCTACTGATTTGGGGTGAGATGTTTTATCACTTGTTACCATGTTAGATCTGATGTCTTTATCACTAGGTCCAGGTAAGTTTGCATTTACAATAAAGTTCCTGCCTTTTTTCAGTAATTCATAAAGAGATAACTGTACATATTCTCTCCAATAGCAATTATCTCAAATGGTAACAACCACAAAATTGTTTTGGGTTTAGTTTTACACTGCTGTATGGTGTTTTATTTATTTCTACTTTGTTACATTTAAAATTAGTTTGAATTCCTTGAATAGACACAAATTACCCTACTTGGATAATCAAGCATGTTAAACATTCCAGTTTTTTGTTGCTTATTTTATTTTATTTTGCAGTCATGGGGTTTGAACTCTGGGCGTGGGTGTTGTCCCTCAGTTCTTCAGCTCAAGGCAACCAAGCACTCTACTACTTGAGCCAGCGCCACTTCTGGGTTTCTGGTGGTTTAAAATTGGACATAAAAGTCTCACACACACACAAAAAAAAGTCTCACAGACGGGGCTGTGAAGGTATCTCAGTGGTAGAGTGCTTGCCTTGCGTGCATGAGGCCCTGCGTTCAATTCCTCAGCATCACATGAGCAGAAAAAGCCAGAAGCGGTGCCATGGCTAAAGTGGTAGATCACTAGCCTTGAGCTGAAGAGCTGAGGGACAGTGCCCAGGCCCAGAGTACAGGCCCCTCCGACCAAAAAGAAAAAAAGTCTCACAGACTTTCCTGCCTGGGCTGGCTTTGAACCATGATTCTCAGATCTCAGCCTCCTGAGTAGCTGGGATTACAGGCATGAGACACTGGCACCCAGCATCAACATTACAATTTTATGGGTTATCCCAAATAACCTATATCCCAAAATAACCCATAAAACTTGAGAGTCATTTCTGAATTGTCAAATAAACAGTAACTTTTAAACCAATGCTATTCATATTTTTCTACTTAGTGATCTTGATCTCCTTAGTAGAGCCTTTATTTTAGATTATATTCTTTGTTTTTCTTTAATTTTATTGTAAAAGTGATGTATAGAGGGATTACAGTTACATACATAAAGTAGTGAGTACATTTTTGGGGGAACATTGTTACCCCCTTCCTCATTTTTCTCCTACCCTCCCCCCACCCAGAGTATATTCCGCATATTAAATTCTTAGTGCTCCTTTAGAGTATCAACATGGAACTCCATTGTCCTATGGTGATTGGTCAGCAACACGTTTCTCACAAGTGAATTTTTTGTGTTTGGTTTTTTTTTAATGACATCTCTGTGTCAAAAAGTCTCCAACGTATCATTCCAGTTTTCATTATTTTCTCAACAGATTTCATACTATTTGAAAGTGAAATGGCCATGGGAAAGGAGAATCAGAACCCACCTTGAACACATAC